TTCCACAGCGGGGGGGTTGTCTGCTAGTTGACAGTCTTCCACAGCGGGGGGGATGGTTTCCTATAGCCAGTGATGTTTTTCAGGCTCCCCCACATAGACAAGGGGTCATTTGCTGAATCCTGAGCTTTCAGCTTTTCAGAGTAGCTACTCTTTGCTGCTCTGATCTCTCTTGTCAGTGTGTTCCTTGCCTGGCTGTACAGAGTCCAGTCCCCACATCTGTAAGCCTCTTCTTTGGCATGATGAAGCTGCTTGAGTCTGGCTGTAAACCAGGGTTTGTTGTTGTTGTATGTGCTGTTAGGTATTTTTAGTCAAATAAATATTGGTTAGATACTTGATGTATTAAAAATGTTTAGAGTAGTGTTAGGTATTTTTAGTGTTGCAGTCGGTTCTTTTTACCATGCTAACGCTGAGAGACAAGGCAGTCCAAGTAACTTCAAAACAGTGCTGATTTATTCAATGAACACAGGTAAAAATTAACATTACATGCTCAGGTATCTTGCACCTCCAACATGCACGCAGGCAGCTGAAAGATGAAAGACCCTGAACCCAACAGGCCTATACATTATATCGCCTCGGGCTAATCCCATACTAACAGGAGACGCCAAGCCGCAGCGTCTCCCAGGGACAGCTCTGCAGCTGCCCCGAGCAGTAGCCAAAACATGATGAAAATCAATGTGTGAATGTTTGATTTCGATTTGATTTATTCTTTCAAGCATGTAAAAACAGTTGCTATGACAACTAAAAATACCTAACATTAGTCAGATAGATATTGGTTAGATACTTGATGTATTAGAAATGTTTAGTGTAGACAGGATGTCTAGCACAGGCTGATAAATGCTTAGTCATGCTCATGAGTTACTGCAGGTTGCTTATGGTCAAGGATAACTAGAAAGTGGATGACTATCAGCAGACAGGATGTTTAATATTATTATTATGACATGTATAACTGTAGCCATAGCCATAATATTTTCTTATGTTTAATGTTATGACATGTCACTAGAGGTCGTGTTAGAATGTTTTAGCTACACACCACATAATCAACAGACAATCACACATTGATTTTTCTTCATGCTTTGACTACTGCTCTGGCCAGCTGCAAAGCCAGTCACAGGGAGACGTCACGGTTTGGTGTCTCTCTGTGTAGAATGGGGTTAGCCCGAAGTGATATAATGTATAGGCCTGTTGTGGTTCGGGGTCTTTCATCTTCCAGCTGCCTGCGTGCATGTTGGAGGTGCAAAGACTCCCGAGCATGTAATGTTAATTTTTACCTGTGTTCATTGAATAAATCAGCACTGTTTTGAAGTTACTTGGACTGCCTCGTCTCTCAGAGTTAACGGTGAAAAGAACTGGGTATCCAACAACACCAAACTTCATTTATGTAGAAGCAGATTCCACCTCCTCTCGTTTTCCCGGACAGCTCCTTTACACAATCTGCTCTGAACACATGAAAACCCAGTACTTGAATCATGCTGTCCGCGGTGGAGTCGCTGAGCCAGGTCTCCGTGAAGCACAAAGCAGCAGAGCGTCCAAAGTCAGTCCTGTTAACAAGAAGAATTTCATCCATTTTGTTGACCAGTGAACGGAGATTTGCCAGGTGAATAGATGGGAGTGGGGTCCATGTTCCCCTCTGTCCTAACCGCACCAAGGCGCCTGCCTGCTTTCCACGACGGTGGCGTTTTTTTTCAGGTCCCGTATATTGCTGCCACGCCTCCGATCAGAATGTCCATACAGCTTTCTTCGTTTACAAAAATCGGAGGAAGGTAGTTTGGTGTGAGTTGTCCGATAGTTAACAGTTCTTCTCTGGTAAAAGTAATCCGGGATGAGTTGCACAAGACCAAGAAAACAAAGAAAAACAACAAACACAAGAGAGCGCGAGTAACCACGGCCGCCATTGCTGTTGGCGCCGGAAGGAGCTCATTGTCACAGATTGATAAGCCTGGTTTCACTGTGGACTGCTTTTGTGTGTCAAAAAACAAACAAACAAAAAAACAAATAAAACTAAAAATAGAATGTTTTGTTTACATAAACTTTGTATTTATTCACTGATCAAGCTTAACAGTAGACGCTGTAGAAAACAACGCATAATTTAGTTAATTTTTTAAATCAACTCTGAACAACAAATATTATTCATTACTTCATTATATTTGTAGCCAGTTACATTTGATGTCATGTTAAGAGAATCTGATGTTGAAATTCCTTTATATGAGCTACTGAAGATGAAGCTATGATATAATCCTTTGGTATTTTCTGTTTGAAAATGCACATACCCCACTGAGTTCCTTTTCTTTTTTACTATTTAACATTTTACTGGATGCGCTTTCCATCTGACTAAACCTAAATGCACATCATAATGACAGCTATTAGAAATCCATTCTATTCTTCTCCTCATTGAGTTTGTTCAAAGCAAACAAAAAACAAGTCACTGTAGTGTGCATTTGCAGGCTGAATAAATGTGTGTTGACTTCTCATTTAGGGACTTTATAAAAGGATGTTTAGCAGTTCTGAATAATGTTCTGTCTCATATACAATGGCCCTGTCCTAGCAATGTATCAGCTTAGGCATTAAATGCTGCTGTATTTCTTGTCCATGAGGTAGCAATCTTGCTGACCTAGCAGTTTCACATCCTCGTCAACATAGGAAATTTAGAAAATGACAGTCAATGCAATGGGTCAAGGACACACACAGGTTTGCTTGTACTCTATAAATCAATTCATTTGTAGTATTTCATTTCCTGACAGGGCTCTGGCTGGTTAAAGCAAACTGTGGTGTTATATATTTCCTGTTTAAAGAGCTGATCTGATTTGCGGGAGCTCTGCAACAGCCTCTTGTACATGCAAATTCTACAGACCTGCTGGGAGCGCAAATGTTACATCTACCCACTGGGCCCAATCTTATAGAGAAGTGCCTAATTGGTTCCTTTAGTGCAATGTCTGTGCTAAAAGAGTGAGACACTCCTCTTGGGTTTTGTCTTTCAAAGGAACCTGATGATCGGCCTGGCGTGGGAAAAGCAGAGTGATGTCCCTGCTGACATTGAGCGCATGAACAGCTGGCTGGTGTGCAGTGCTCATTATTATTTAGTGTCTGCATACTGAATATATCATCCTAATTGAACAATACTCTAAAAGGTTATACATTAATGTTAAACATCTTAATGCTAAATGCAGGCGATAAGTATATGGTTTCGAAGGAAATGTTGCAATATCTGTTTAGCTGCTCAGATTCCCTTATATTAATATTCCTCATTTTTTTGTCTCTATTTTAATGCGTCTCAACTCTGGAAGCTACACTGGTAATGCTGCGATTCTCGTGATGGGCTAAGGCAGTACTGGGCTTGCAGGAAGAGACTACAGTGATGCCAGCTGTTCAAGGCTGATATGGACTCTCTGATACCGTGGGAGAACAGACTCCAGGCCCCCGGTAGCT